CGGTAACCTCACTGATAATCGATCCACCAGGACCCACAAGTCCTTCGGTTATGTGCTCCCCCAAGGTACTTTCTCAACCCCATTAAAAATACTTCCTAAAATAATAATGTTTCACTGGAAGGTTTATATAAATATATATACAGATTAATATGACANGCGACTATTCGTTCTGTCTTCTCTCCCAGTTGATGCATTCACCTTCGACTTTAATTATCCATTCTTCGTATATATTGTCTTGGACAGAGGTGATTAAAGTATCTCTAGCTAAATTTTGACCATTGACAGTCTCAGTCAAATGAACAGAAGAGGAATAAAAACCATACATAGGGTTCATCTACATCGTTGTAACTGTTCTCTGTTTCTCTTCATTTTCCTCTTTTGTGCCTGAATCCCTTTTTCCGTTTTCATCTTTGTCGCTTTGGCACCAAACGTTCTCAAACCAGTGTTCTTATCCACTAGTGTCGAAGTTGTTCGCAAGAGAGACATTTTCTACTACTATTTGAACCATAACACGAACAGTTTGTTCAATCTACTAACCGAGTTTTCCACAAGAAGTTCTCTGAGAGTACAAGCATGTTTGAGTCTGTGTATTTGTTTTTCTTGTTCAGATTCAAGCCACAGTATATCGAAAATGGCCAGGATGTTTCCTTAATTTTTTGAATTCGACCGTTTATACTTGGTATTATTTTTGCTTCAGGTTTGCGATTGGTGGCTGTAAGTGCATCGCATGCGACAACATCTACAGTCACTCAAGGCACTAAAGTGAGTGCAATTTTTTTATAGATGTATTGGTTCTAGGCCAACTATGGACCGCTGGCGGATGAGGACAGAATTTTTACAAACCTCTACGGTCGCCACGACTGGCACCTAAAAAGTGCAATGAAAAGGGTAGGTAAAATCCGTATTCTGTTTATGTTGTTTCAGGGTCATTGGTACAAAACCAAGGAGATTTTGCTCAAAGGACCAGACTGGATTATAGAAGAGTTGAAAAAATCCGGCCTACGCGGTCGTGGTGGTGCGGGATTTCCTACTGGCGTGAAGTGGAGTTTCATGAATAAACCCAGCGATGGAAGGTTGGTTTCCTAGGGTGTTCTAACATGTAACGTTTCCCATTTAAGGCTGAGCTATATTGTTAGATAACAGGAGCTGTCATAGAATTTTCCCTTAGTTTTAGCTAATGGACATTAGCTAAACTAAAGGGGGTTGTTCATCTTTGACAGATCCAAAACGTGGCACATAACAGATACTGAATTCGCTTAACTCAGCAGATAAGATTCACGCCAGACTGGACCGTTTCTCAGCGTCCCTTATCAACGATTGTCCTCATTCCTTGAGCCTCAGCTTGGAGGGTGGGCTGCACTAACCGAAGCCAATACTGAATCAAACTTCTTCACACCTCAACGCCAGGTCAAACTTTGACCGCAGTGACGGTCCTTTCAGTCTTACCCAGCAGGTGAAAAGAGAACACTAGTAGCTACAGATGGGTAGATACACGGAAACATTACCAAGCTGTTGGAGGCGGTGCAAAGCTATTTCCTCTCATTGATCGATTATCAGCACCACCACACGATAACAAACTTCATCGAAGCTCACCCAATGTTCCCACCAGACAACGAACTATGCTTCTAGGAAATCGGTGGTCGAAGATAGATGCTAGATTAACATCATCAAGCAAAGAGGCCAGGTCTCACAATCGTAAAGCAATGCACCACAAACAGTAGTGATATACACCGTTTCCTCATGGGCGAGTCGAATTTCATAGTGGCGCAGCAGATGTCGTGAGTCGGCGAAAGGTCTTCCGTGTAAAAATTCTATATTTATCTAAGAAACACGTAGTTTGCGTTCAGAAATCAAAACACTTAGGGATTACAAATAAACTGATAGCTCTCACCGGTATTGAGGTTTTAAACTATGTGAATTCTATAGGTCTCAGCAATTGTGATTCTGATTTACCACAGTAGATTCTAATACTTGGAAAATTATATTGATCTTGTGATACTGCAGTGTTTTTTCTTGCTCTCGAACGACGAATGGTCACGGCGATATCATGGAAATTCTGTTATTTTTGTATCGTGAACCTCGACAGACCAAAATATCTGGTGGTCAATGCTGACGAGGGTGAACCAGGGACATGTAAAGATCGGGAAATAATGCGTCATGATCCTCACACGTTGGTTGAAGGTTGCCTGATTGCAGGTCGTGCCAATGGTGCCCAGGCTGCCTACATTTACATTCGTGGCGAGTTTTACAATGAGGCTTCAAATCTACAGATGGCAATCCGCGAGGTAAGTCTGTCCGTTTATTATGAGAATTCTTACTTACCGAAAAATGATACTTTTCGCAAATGAACATTATATACTATTTCCATGTTTGCATGGGCTGATCTTCCCAATTTTTTAACTATGTTCTACGTGAAATTCTGTTTCACAAAATGCCACATTTCATGGGACAATGGCAGTACGTTTAACTGTTGCAATTTAAAACCATGGCGGTTTCTTCGGTCGCATGGACTGTGTTGATTAGATATTTAACACCCGTGTGCTTTTGGAACGCAGTTACAAGTTCCAGCAACCAAAAACCTCCCCATAACCTCTGATTTCGTCGATCGAATTTCGCTATGCAACATAAGGAAAGTATTTTTTCATGCCTGAGAAGCTCATAGAGCTTATATTGTGATACTTCCCAAACACCTGAACGCGCGTCGGTGTCTATGGAGCCGAGTTTTCACAGTTTCCCTGGAGGTTAACTCTGCAGTTTCCATCCATAAAGCTCGAGTGAATACAAAATAAAATAATTTCATACTGCATCGGCCATCGCGCAGGATAATCAGGGTCGCGCTGCCCGTCGCTTCCAGTGGAGTGGGTAGTGTCCTCCATACCCAAAGCTCTCCTTTGCCGATTCTCCTAACCCGTGACATTCCGGCAGACAACTCGTTGGTCACTCACCAAAGCTCGTTGCCAAATAGCATAGCATGTAAATTGCACATTGTGAAGCCTCATGAACCTCTGAATCCGGTGACCTCCAACGTGAGGACTGATGCAATTGGGTCAATAAGCTTGTCTGGCTCGTACAACGAACCCTGGAAATTGATTTTTGTTGCCCATGGAAGACACGAATTAGGATCTCAGTAGTGTAAGCCACCTAACTGCACCGTATTTGTCCTGAAGGTATTTCCTTCGCACATCAAGAGATGACGAAGACTGCTTTCTTGGTCGGTACGGAGTAAGGGTCGTGCCAAGCTATAAAGATAAGGCCTCACTGATAGATTAGATACCCGTCAATAGTCTGTGCGCAACAGAGTTCCAAGGTTCAGTTAGTGTTCGGAGGGGAAACAACACCAAAATGTGTTTGTTCTTCATTTCTGCATATGCACCAACCAGCTGCAGACCCACTTCACAAAAAGGCCGAAGTTTGACCCGCAAGGCAGCGGGGCGGTGTGTGCAAACCCCAGTCCATTGAGGGGCGGTGTCCAGTTCATCGGATCATACGCTCGCTGGACGTGGTGAAAGGTTCAAGGTGCCCAATACAACTTGAAGCCCTATCGAGTGGGTA